ATATATATATATATATATATATATATATATATATATATATACAGAATACTTTCTGTAGTTGGGAAGCTAAAAACTGCCCATGAGTAACATATATGAGTATGGTTAATTTCTATCCTACACTCCTTAAAATGACTAGGGCTTTATTTCTTTTGCTTATTTCATGCTTAATGTATAGGATAATTGTCAAGTATTACATATTTTCTGGAGCTTTCTATATATTGCTATATAGTCTGAATCTGAATTATGTCAGGGAATGGTATGTTGCCATGATATTTTAATCATTCTTTTAAAAGGTGCAGTCCTTTCTGGGGGTATTATAGTTTGGGTGGGGTGTAATTTAGTACTGAATTGGATATGTGTGCATGGTTTATCAACAAACCTCTAGTGGCACAAAAATATTCCTGAGAACTTTTACAAACCCATCATCATGTTTCACATCTCTAATTAGGGATACTGTTAGAAGGTGGTCATAGTTATGAATATTCTTGGCAACATGACTAGTACTCTTTTCTTGTATTATTTTCAAGTCTTCTTTTTTGGTACAACTTATTTGTAGTCAGTAAATCAAATTTCAATGGGTAGAAGTAAGTTTTTGTTCTTGGGCCAACTATTTTGACATTTCAAATATGTGGAAAACTCTGAACAGGATTCTCATTCATCTAAACTTAATGAAATAGTTTCGACAACAACAAAAAAGAATAAATTATATAACATAATTTTAATATGTAATTTGGCTTATTCAGCTTATAAATTTATCCAAAGGTAATAACTTCTTTCTGACACACTAACCAATAGGGCAAATACTTTTTATTCATATTAAAGTAACTGCTATGAATCAAATTAATTCTTCCTTATAGAACATCAAGTGCTTTTTTGAAGTTAGTTTTTCTTCTATACACTAAAGTTTTCATTGTATTTTTAAAAATACAAGTTCAATGAGTCGAGAGAACAGATTTCATTAAACCTCAGACCTTTTCTGAAGTCACTGATTATAGAAATGGGTGGACTTAGGTAAATTTTAGAAACTGAAAATATTCCATGATCTTCAGTGTGGATACAACATACTGATCTGAATAATATTTCATGACACTGAAACCTTCTACAAGTGGCTGGCTGGCTCTGGTTATAAGCAGTGAGTTGGTACTCTGCCTATAAACTAGGTACATCACTGGATAGAAGTTCTTTTCATGATTGACATAATTTGGTGATGGAGAACATGACCAAAAATTTGTCTCTAAGTGTACATTATTTTAACATTTCATAGGTACTCAGTATGTGCAGTGAAAAATATAATCATGCATAGCCCAGCAATTCAGCAAGATATCACTTTGATATTGTTTTCAAAGTATGCACATTTCTAAAAGGCTTTGGAACATTTCTGCCAAGGGCTGTATTTTTCATAATTGTCCTCGATTGAATACAGTTAGTTTTTCTATCAGACAGTCACATTTATCATATTTAAAAAACAATTTCATAACCTTCTCTTATAGGGGCTAGCAAGTTCTTTTTCTTTTAACTCTATCTTTTAGGACCAAAATGCCAAGGGATTATTATATATATAAAACTTACCACTGTAAGAAAATACTGGCTTTACTTTAAGAGGAACATAAGCACACTTTTATGTATTTACATTTTAAAAATAATTTTGATTGAAAATTTTTACAGATAAGTGTGGTAGTAGTTATAAAGTTATAAAGAACATTTTCTTATGAGGAGTAAGAAGCAATAAGAAGATAGCATTATTTTCTAAAAATTAGATTTCATTGCACACTACAGAATACAAAGGGGAATGACTTTATGAATAAGTACTAAAATATGAATCAGAGATTCATATCAAGTTTATGATAAACCTTAACCAGTCACTCATTATACTGCTTATATGCATTTGCCATTACTTTCCCTTGCATTACATGAATATTGGCAATGCATTGACATACATTGTACTATTCTCTAAACTCACAGAAAGATATAAATTCAGATACAAATAATAAATATTTTCACTCAAGTGCCACAAACACAAATAATAAACCAATACATTTAGATCACATTATTATTCTAATTTAATAGCAGTTATTAATGATATGGTTAATTCAGAAAACACCAGTTATACAGCTCCCTCATGGTTAATAATTTCAGAACTTTGATTTCTTTACTAGTTGGATTATGTGAGTGATTTACAAATACTCATTATTTCTCCCATAAATTTTATTTGTTGTTGATTTTTTTAAAAACCTGTGAATATAATGAGTTATTATTTCAGGCTCCAAACTAATAATAATTTATTAAGAAACTGCTTTGTAACTGTAAATGGCTAAACTAAATCACATTTTTGAAGATTTGCTACCTGCACATCTAGTGACAGTAATGAAACCTCGTGTACTTGCTCTAGAAACACATACACGAGAAACCGGGTCTGGGGACAGGATCTTACACAAAAACAAAGAAACAACACCGATTGAGTCCTTTTCAAGGTACCCACATAAGAAATAAGCAGTGATTATCCAGCTTTATGATGCACTTGACACCACATGACATCATTTTTCAGATGACCCCAATATCTGTTAGTGACCAACTACCATACATACAAATAGCGTTCATTTCTGAAAATGATTTAACTTTCCCCATACAAAGTCTTGATGTATAAAGTATTAGGTGATTATTTTTATGCTGCTTATTTAATGACAAATGAATTCCCTGAACTTCTCTAATTCTCAAATATAAAATTGAATTTACGGAAGCTTTTTAAAAGTTAAGACAATATTGTAAAAAGGGCCCAGAATGATCAATAAATCGTGCCAAACTTAGTAGATTAAGAATACATTTCTTTTTGTTGGAGTTTAACGTTGATTTTAGTTTAAGATTTTTTTTTTAAAAGAAGATATTATTCTGACTGTGAAATATTTAAAATGACACTATACTTAGACATTTAATATTCATTATCCTTAATTATTAATACCTTTTCATAATACTTTATTTAAATGATTTTATTTTTTTCCAAAGAAAATTGTGGTGCTATATATACATCAAACTAAAGATTTGCAACAATTTAAGTCAGACACTATGTATTATACATTTTTAAAATTATAAAACCAACCCATATCAGTTTTCATAAAACTGTTTGGGTAAGTATATTAAAGATATGCTAAGTACACCCAAAATGATATGTTTGACATATAGATTATATGTTCTGTGGGGTTTATAGCATAAATATCACTAGAACTTTTCTATTTGGGTTACCTTATTATGTTGGTGGCTTACTAAGCTAAGTGCTTGGCTGTTAACCACAATGTCCACAGTTCAAACCCACCAGCCACTTGGCATAAAAGAGATGTAGTCATCTGCTTCTGTAAGGATTTCAACCTCAGAAACCCTAGGAGGCAGTTCTACTCTGTCCTACAGGTTTGCTGAGTCAGACTGACTTGACAGAAATGGCTACTTTTACATACACAGTGAGTCAGAGTAACAAGGGGTTGCCTTCAAATTTCATTTTCTACACTGATGATACATTTTTAAAATCACACACACACACACACACACACACACAGCTCCCATATTTCTCCATGATTTTCTTTTGCACACATCTCATCAATAACTCTCTAGGGTTCATAACTAAATCTATGGATGACATTATTTTTTTCCTTTTTATAACTTTCATATATAATTCATGTATTTTGAGAGTTTTGACATAATATTATTGCAAGTTGTGTGTAAAAACACTAATATATTCAAGAATGAAGAATATAATCTGGTTGTATATTAAAATAAAATTTAACCAAAATGCAATTATTTTTGTGTGGTGCAGCTGCACTGCACAGTTGGATTACCTCAGTGACTCGGGGCCACTGCTCTGTTGCAGATTCAACGTCAGTGGCCTAATGAGTGCTGAGTATGGAAAAGCCTCTACAAAAGGGACTGACTGAGCTTGATTTTATTAATTTATAATGCTTAGGAAAGGGGAAAATTGAAAAGAAACTCCCTTCTTGACATACTTCAGAATTGACCCACAATAATTACTGAGATTAAATGCCAGTGTGTTTTATAATAAAATATTACTTACTTTCACAGAAGAGATACAATTGCACAATGGTGGTTACAATGGTAGAAATACATATTGTCAATAAAATGTTAGCAAGAGGTTTAAAAATGACCGTACAGCACCGCATCAGAGAATCGTATAATAGCAAAATGATTCATATTATTTTTCTATATAAATAAAATCATCATTTTTTTAATTAATGGAGGAAACTGCTCTTTTCTAATTCCCACTAAAGCAGTTTGGGATGTCGAGCAAAAGACTTTTTTTTTTAAATGACAGAATTACAACAACAACAAAAAGACACTCATGCATTGAAGCCACCATCAGTCTCTGACTCTAAGATAAGGCAGATCATTGAACTTTTGCAAAACTATGATTTTGGCCACTTTAGCTTACATTAGTGATTTTCATGACAAGCACGGGATAAGTCCTGTAGACTTAGCCATCAAAATGTATTTCCAACAGGTTATTTTACACAGGCTGAACTGTTTTTGAGACACAAACATTACACTAAAAATGCTTTGGAGAAATGACGCAAAAGTTATAATAAAGAAGAAAACCCCCCTGGAAGGGGTTCTATAGAGTTTATCACAAATGGCATTGCTTCTATCAATGAAAAAGAAATCACATTTATGTGTCATCCTCAGTCTTAATGATGTGGAAAAGCGTGACGTTGAAAAGGACCTGGTGGCCATTGTTCCAGGCATACAGAGCTCGATCTCTTGCATTGTAGTCGAGCATGGAGATGTGAAAGTACTGGTTATGGAATGGAATGTCTGTGTACTCGTACGTGGAGGTCTTGGTCGAATAGGAGTAGTAGACCTTGGCTCCAGTTAGGTGAGAATTGGTGACATACAATGTCCCACAGATCATGAAGGATTCCCCGGCACTTCTCTTAGGATAGCCCGTGCTCCAGCTCTTCAGCACCTCCAGGGTGTCTTGGTTAAGTTGACTGATGACAATATTGCCGGCATTCTGGTTAGTTGCATACACAGCCCACAGCCCGATTTCATCAGCCATGAGGTCGATGTCAGAGAATCCACCCCACGTGTAGGGGTACACATTGTGAAAGCCAGCATACTCCAGACTTCGCTGGGCAAGCACTCTCCCCATGTCAAAGCTGTATTTGATGATGATGTTACTCTGATACTTGTTAAAATAAAGGGAGCCATTGTAGACAACATGGTTGGTACCTGCCCACTTGAAAGGGAGGTTGTATGTCCTGGACTCAGCCCCACTGACAAAGTCTGCAATTGATTTGTACTCACGGACAATTTTATTGTTTGTATAACTGTCCATGTACCACACCTGAAAAGGGAAAAATGAAACAGAATGATTAAATTCTGTACTTCCCTGGGAATGCCAAAAGAAAGACAGTAAAAGTAAGTCCAAACTAGTCTTAGTTCTCAGGCTATGGAAGCTGCGTGATCTTACTGTGTGAGTCAGAATGGACTAGGCGGTGCCCAACAGCAACAACAACAACAACAAGCTGCTGAAGGGGATAGTTCACAAACATGGTGGCATGGGCTATGTGTCCACAAATGGGTTTATTGCTTTGTGATGGTTTGGGTTTTTGATCTTTTCTCTCTCTTTTTTGAACATTCAGCACATATCACTGAGTACAACAAACCTACATCAGTGAGTGCCAATCACCACATTAAAATTATCTGACAGATCAATGTGGTCCTACAATTGCAAAAAAATAAAAAGACCTTTACCAAATTACATTCATTCCATATCTGAAATACTTATAGCTATATATATATATATATGTCCAAATATATGTGTGTATACATATATATATATACACACACACATATGTATACTTTATGGGTACCACAAAACCTTCTAGTTATAATTATTCATATTTACTGAATCAGATTCTAGGTACAAAAACCTTTTAATGAAAGTATTTCAGTAATTCAAAAATAATCTTGCTTGAGGTAGCCCTTAAGAATTTTAATTTATTCTGACTTTTGTAATATATGATTGAAAGAACTTTGGTAAGTTTTATGGTATATTGATTTACATAATAAAGGAATTTCCAGTATATGAAAATATATCCAAAGTATCAGTACACTAAAAAAAAGACTGGTATATTTTAATATTATTTTCAGCTGGCTTAGTGATTTGAATTTTATTTCATTTAAAGCAATATTATATTGTCACTCTAAAGATCATAATTTTAATTAGTTTTTACTAAGCATTGATCATAAGACAAGATGAAATCTAATAAAGATTAGACAATATATTGGTAAACTATATGAAGAAACATTGGGAAAAAATACACTTCTCATTGATCTTTGTATTTCATATTGAAAATATATATGAATAATGTAAGGTTTTTCGAAATGTATGGTATCCTTGAAGATTTTATTAGCCATGTAGAGAGAGAGTGTAAAGAAAATATAATGTGCAAGCAAGGCGCTCACTGAAGCAACATACTCTGTTATTTTTTTCAGATGCTAATGGATCTGTCATCCAAGCGCCAAATCGTGTCCCAGATGTCTTGACTGTAATTGGGCCTGTGATTTTCATCAGTTTGCCACACGCTGGAATCACAGAAACATAAACACGTTCAGTGAACATAACCAATGATTTGACAGTCACACCAACAGCAAAGAAGAGGAGGATCAAAGGAAGGAAGTTCATGGGATTCATATCACGTACTTTAAATGCACAACCATTTCTATTGTGGCTCCACCTTGAACAGTCATACTCTCAATGCTCTAAGTCTAAACTGTGGGATTTTACAATGGGAAGTGATTTGATTTGATTTAAACCTAGAAAGTAATAAGCGAAAAGAGCTCTTATCATCATTTGAATTCAGCAGCTGCTTCTTCTAAGTAGAAGCCAGGAAAATTCAGCAAATTGCCCATGGGTCTATTTACCTGATCACTCCCCACTTCTTACCCCAGCCCCATGCATCCTTTGTGAGTAGGTACAGCTTATGCAAACCAAAAAGAGCTCCACAAACTGGCTTTCCAGTTCATATGGTTAATGTGCAACTCCTCTGAAACAGACCTTTATGGAAAACAACAATATAAACTCATTTACAATCTGCATGGAAGTGAGGTGATGTTTTGAAGGGCAAGAGCCTTCTACAGGTTGCAAGGATGGAAGAACAGGTGCTAACATGCATGAAAAAGATTTTGCAGTCACATATGGGGAAAGGTAGAGTATAAAGTGAAGCAATAAATGACAAAAAGTTAATCACTTTCTATTTTTAAAATATAGTATTATCACTCCAACTGCGAATAGGATCCTAGGAAAAACTCAGTGTTCACAAATTAAAAAGTCTACAGCAAACAGAAATCCAATACATATTTTGTGATATTTTTACACAGCAAAATACAAAAGAGATTTACCATGCATGTTAAGAAAGGCTACATAACAGCGCTGTTCATATGAATGCCTATGGATATTGGCCTTTGGTCTAAACAGAGCCATGCCAATTCCTGATCATTTATAATTTCCTTTCCAATTCTCTTCTTTTTGGCTTCCCGTCATTTCCTGTCCTGTTTGTGGAGCTTTCCTTCTATCGCCCTTTGCCTGTTTTTCAAATGTGTAGTTAGTTCTCATTGGTTTTTTCTGCTTAGAAGAAAAAGCATGGACCCCTAAAGCATGTCAAGGAAAACATTATTTTTGCATAGAGATTATTTTGGCTAATTTGCTGCTCTTCACCTAGAGTAATGTGTATTTTCCAGAATGCTAAAATGTGTGAAACAATGAGAATATAGCATTTTTTCATTAATCTGTGTATGCTTACTTTGAACTCAGAACAACTACATATTGAGTAATCTAGGCCTCATGACACCTGCATTGAAAATAGCTTTTCTTGTTTTGTGAAATAAACTCGATGTGATGGAATCTTTAGGTAATGATTTATTTTATAATTTTCTCATAGATGTTTACCCAAGTAAATAATTTCAGGAGACTTTATGATATTATTTATAGTGACTAACCAGACCTTGAGCCAGACTTGTTTAGAATATGTCCCCTTGATTTTGTATGAGACATGAACAATATATGAGTGAAGATATATCAATTAGGTCCCCCCAAAAAGTGAAGCAATTTTGAATGGAGTTACTTGAGTATTTTTTCTCTGGATATACAATAAATGAATGGGATATGATCTTTAAGAGGCAATGCATAAACATTTTCTAAAGCCACAGATGATAAATGCCTGTACTAGGAAGTAAATCACACAAGAAATGTTGTTTTTATTATTGGTAAAGCATTTTAAAGGATAGAAATATAAGTAGCTTGACATGAATACAGAGATAACCTCTCAAAGATAAGCACAAAAAAGCACAGTATGTGAATTTTTTCTTACTATGGATAATAATTCTGTTAATGAATAAAATTTATTAGCAAAATTAAGTAAAAACTTGAAAAGTAATTTTAAGATAAAGACTGATATTTGATTTCATATTCACTATTGATAACAAATTAGTGAAACTATAATGAAGGAGAGAAACTGGTAAGAAAAATACAAAGCCAAAAGAATGGCATGGAGATATTAACATGCAAGGATTTTTAAGTCAGGAGGCAGGAGATGGATGAAGAGTGATAACTGAAGATCTAGAATTAAATTAAATGCCACAATGTCTATGTGGAGGAGGTAAAAGACTCAGATGTGTAAGTATAAAGCATGCTATTGTTAGGTACCACTCAGTTTCCTCCAACCATAGTGACCGTGTGCACACCAGACTACAATACTGTCCATTCCTGGACCAATCGCACAATGGTTTTCTTAGAATCTATTGCATCCACCATGTCACTCTTTCTCTTTGAGGGTCTTCCTCTTTTTCACAGACCCATTACTTTATCAGGCAGGATGTCTTTCTCTAGAGACTAGTCCCTCTTGATAACTTGACAGCTTCCCGTTGCTCATTTCTAAGGAGAATTCTGGCTCTATTTCTCACAAGAAAAGTTTGTTCTTCTGATAATCTATGTTACTTTCCACATTCTTCCCTGGCTTTATGAAGCAAGTACAGCAATTCTAGCATCTTCCTTCCTTCTTCATTGTCAGCTTTCACATGCATATAAAGTGAAAGAAAATGCAAGGTTTCTGTAGGAAACCCCTTTGTCTTCCAAGGGACACCCTTTTCTTGAACACTTTAAGTAGATCTTGTGCATCTATTACAAGATGCCAGAAGTCAGATCGCAGCCTTGGTGGGATAACAGCTATGCGATCCGCATAGCTGGCCTTTCAAAACCAACAGCAGCTCAGTGGGAGAAAGGCCAGGCTTTCTACTTCTGTAAATAGCTACAGTTACAGTCCCAGAAACCCACAGGGGTCGCTGTGAGTCAGCACTGACTCAGTGGCAGGGAATTGTTTGCTTGTTGTTTGAGAAGTCAGATAAAATAGTTACTTCATTAAATGCATGCCTTAAGAGATTAATTCTGAGATGTAGGACCTCAGAAGCAGTCTAAAAAAGTAAAACCATCCACCAGACTATTTTTATTGCCTGAAAAGGTTTGCTTTTATTTCTATTGGTCATTATTTAGGTGATTCTAACTCTTGATAACAGTAAATAAAGGCACTGACCTAGAACCAATGTTTCTGCTCTTTGTAGTCTCATTGACTATTGCACATGAAATGAAATGTCATGTTTTACCAAATACACAGATTTCAGGCAAATTTTTATTGTTCAAATTCCTTATTTTTCAATGAACTTTTGAAGTTATATTATGATGTTGAACTCTCAAAGGAAGGGAAGATATTACTGTCCAGTACTTAATTTTTGCTCCCTACGGGACATTAGTGTCCAGTTTACATTGAGGACACTGTTCTTTTCCAGTCATCTTTGAAACCTCTCCCCAATGGTGGACCTTGTAGGCATTTGAAGTCATGGCAGTATCTTATGGTATCACAGGATTATGCAACCCATCACAGTACAACAAACTGACTGACAAGTAGTGGAGTTTAAATGTGAGTGATTATATTGTTATGGAAACAAGGTCCACCATTGTGGAGAGGTTTCAAAGGAGCTTTCAGAATGTGACAGATGATTGAAGAAGGAACAGATGGTCTCCTTCTAAAACATTAGTCACCCAAACCTTATAATTAACAGTAGGACGTTTTCTGCTATATTTAACACTGATTGAAAAGAACTCAAAAGATGACTGGAAAAGAACAGTGTCCTCAATGTAAACTGGACACTAATGTCCTGTAGGGAGCAAAACATTCAAGGCCATCATTCGCTGATATGGTATGACTCAATATGAGAAGAAATAGCTTCAACGTCCATTAGTGATCAAAATGTGTTAGGCATGGCGTCTGGATCTAGGAAATTTAGAAGCCTTAGAAAATGAAATTCCATACATAGACATTGATATCCTATTGCTTTCAGGTGCCATTGAGTGGGTCCCAACCCATATCCATTCTGTGTACAGCTGAATAAAAAATGTCCAGGACTGAGCCCTCCTCACAATTTTCCTGTGCTTGAGCCCATCACTGTAGTCACTGTGTCAATCCACCCCCCTGAGAGCCTTCCTTTTCAGGATGCCCCGCTAGCAAAAAGGACGAACATTCTCAGCATAACATAAACTAAAAGAACTCCAGAAATAATTCAAGTCTTGAGTTGCAAGATCAAAAGATTCTATGGGCAATATATTGACAATTAGGAAGGATCAAAAGAAAATCGAAAGAATACACAGAGTACCAAAAAGAACTAGTCATTGCAACATTTCAGAAGGTAGCATATGTGCAAAAACCAATGGTGCTGAAGGATGACATTCAAGTTGTAGTGAAAGCATTAGCCAAAAACAAGGTTTCACGTATTCATGGAAAACCAATTAATATGTTTCAAAGGCTGATGAAGCACTGGAAGCACTTACTCATTTGTACCAGCCAACTTGGTAAGCAGCTACCTAGCCAGCTGACTGGAAGAGATACATATGTGTGCCCGTTCCAAAGAAAGTGCCCCAACAAAATGTCCAAATTATAGACCAATATCCTTGATATCACATGTGAGTGAAATGCTGCTGGAGGTCATCATTCCGTGGTTGCAGCAGTACATTGACTGGAAGTGGGCAGAGGATCAGGACAGATTCAGAAGAGGACTTGGAACAAAGGATATCGTTGCTGATTTCAGATGGATCCTGACTCAAACAAGAGAATATGAGAAAGATGCTGGTCTGTGCTTTATTGGCTACACAAAGGCATTCAGCTGTGTGGACTATAATAAACTATGGATACTCTTGAAAGAATGGGAATTCCAGAACACTTCATTTTGTTCACTTGGCCTTTATACATGGATCAAGAGGTAGCTTTGCAAACAGAACAAGGTAATGTTGCGCAGTTTAAAATCAGGAAAGGTGGTGACAGAACTTATCTTCTCACCATACTTTTTCAATCTGTACACTGAGAAAATAATCAGGAAAGCTGATTATATGAAGAAGTATGTGGTGTCCTCACATTGGAGCAAGGCTTATTAACCACCTGCAGCGTGCATATGACAGAACCAAGCTTGCTGAAAGTGAGGAGGACTTGAAATACTCGCTGATGAGGATCAAAGATTGCCACCCTCAGTGTGAATTACAC